CTCCTCCTCCTCCTCCTCCTCCTCCTTCTTCTTCTTCTTCTTCTTCTTCTTCTTCTTCTTCTCCATTGCATCACACTTTAAGTCTGGTGTTTATCCTACCGGGCTGTCCTGTTCAGTTCTACTCGCCCGTATAACTTCTCCTGTAGTATTAACAGGACATGGTGCAATCATGATAAAAAAAAAATACTGGGGGAAAAGGCAGGAAGAAGAAAGGGAAAAATAGGATAGCAAAGAAATACAGTACAGTAAAACAGAAATACAAAATGCATTTTCACATCTGAAAATATGTCTGTATTGTAGATGAAAGCTTGAGCGGTTATTAGGGAAAGACATTCTGCGATTCAGCACCAAGCTAAATTCAGTTATGTACATCACATTATATAGTAGTCAGTCAAAAACAAAGGAAAACAATGGCCATCATGTTTCACAGCAAGGAAATAATCAAAAACTTTGCCTCATAATGACATGTTTAAATGACATGTAACAATGGAAGACAAGTAGGCCTAAAGACTTACCCTCTGGACAAGAGACACAACTTGCATCTGAGCTGCTACGATACGTCCCAGCCGAACAGTCCACACAAGCAGTCTGTCCACCATTAGGAACCTGACCAGCAGGGCAATCCTGAAAAACACAGAAAAAGAACCATAATAGCACAATCCGCAAACACTTGTACAAGCAGATCTACACAAAATTTGTAGTTTCAATCAGATCTATTCATTCTCTTCACCTAAGTTTAACTTTAACAATTTTGGTGTAGCAGTTAGGTGCTTCGTTGTCACCTGCAGAGAACACGAGTCCAAATCCTGTGTGGAGCTCAGAGGTTATTATTTGAGCACCCCTCTCTGTTTGGGTTGGCCCTGACATTCTGACAGGCAGGGTCAGAACAGCTTCCTAAATGGGGCGTAAAAGCATCAGGAATGGGCCCTCCGTTAGCTCAGTTGGTATTATGCTGGATTATGGAGCAGATAGCCCTGGTTCGAATCTCAAACTGGGTGTTCTTGAACTTCGGTCGTTTTGCAGAGTTTTAAAGGCTCTCAGTCTCAATTCATCAGAGGCTCCGCCTCTTAAATAAGCTACAAGTGTTCTTAGGGGCGTCAGAGACCTTTACATTGCAAGGTCTCTGGGGACATTTAACCCATGCCATACAGTACACTTAGCCTACAGTTTTACTTACTACGCTACATCTGAATTTGCAACCATACTACATCCCCTCCAATAACCAAAAAAAACTCTACCTGTGGAGCATTTGTAGTGGTGGGACATATTTTTCCAGACGGACAAGCTGTGCAGGTTCCAACCCCTGTCTCGGCGTATTCCCCACTGTTACATGCCGTCTGAACGTTTCCACTGCAGCTGTAGCCCGCTGGGCAACTTGAGCAGGAAGTGGCCCCAGCAGAACTGATTTCAGTCGCACCACAGGCTTGGCAGGCAGAAGATGAGCTGGAACCGGTGTTGGAGTTGTAGGTGCCAGCCGAACATGCGGTCTTGGCAAAACTGGCGCCTTGACAACTGCAGAAAAATAAATTCCTTATTAGATCTAGATTCTTAAAGCTCATTCAGTTGACAAAATGTTACATTTTACTTAACCCGGGCACTGTTGTGCAAAATGGTTCCGTAAGTCTCTCTCTCTCTCTCTCTCTCTCTCTCTCTCTCTCTCTCTCTCTCTCTGGTAGATCTAGATTCTAGATCTATGATCAAGGAGTGATAGGCCTAATTAGGCTAATCTAAAAAAAAAAAGCTTGTATGAAAGAAAGCTGCTGGCTTTTTTTTTTTTTACTGCTGCAGCAGTGCTGAGAAGGACGCTCGGAGATGAGCAGTCTAAAAAATTGCCACTATCTACTTAGTACTTTCACCCCCTTGTTTTGAGGGTCTTAATTAATTAATCGCTGGGATAAGTGGGACAGAGGTGGGTCGTTTAGGTGTTTGATAGGCCTATGTGATTTTGTCTGTGGGTATTTGCTTTGTTTAGTGGGGGGAGGGAGGTCTTTCTCTATTTTTGTCTATTCTTTTAATTATTTTTTTTTG